GGGTTCAAGCAATTCTCCTGCCTCAGCCTCCCGAGTAGCTGGGACTACAGGCACACGCCACCATACCCAGCTAATTTTTGTATTTTTAGTAAAGACAGGGTTTCACCATGTTGGCCAGGATGGCCTTGATCTCTTGACCTCAGGATCCACCGGCCTCGGCCTCCCAAAGTGCTGGGATTACAGGTGTGAGCCACTGCGCCCGGCCACAACTACCTCCCTTTTCACTTTCTTGGTCCAGATTCTCTATGATGAGAGCAATCTGTGGAAAGGCTGTGCAGCCTGTTAAAATGCTTCCCCCCACCATGAGTACCTGGTAATGTTGGAATAACTGTAGAACTCTCCGTTTGTACCCCATGGGCATGTATTGAGTAGGGTCTCGTGGCCATGTTTTTAAAGATAATGTTGACTTTGTCTTTAACATCTGCATGAAGTTGTGGACCTGGCAAAAGTGAAAAGAAAGAGTGACTTGTATACCTGTCCAATTGGAAGGTCTAACTTAGTAATAAAAGCAAAGACTAGCAAAGATAACTTGTTTATCTCCCCATGGGTTTGTGCTATAAACCTCTTGAATTTATACTGGGTCCCAGGGAATTTGGGATCAAGACACTGGAAGTAAAGATGGAGACCATTTGTTTATCTCTTAAGAGTTCTAGGGGTGGTTTGGCTTGAAAGTCCTTTGCAGAGTACTGGTCTAATTATGGTGGGTTGGATGTCCAGCCAGGAGTCATTTTGCAGCCCTTGCTGTAAGGATACCCCTCCCGTTTATACCCTTTATACAATCTTAGCTTGATTCTTGTAAGATTTTTGTGCTCCAGCAACAATACCATTTTGCCTTGGTGTCTTAGTCTAGGGGTTGAGGATAACCAAGCCTCAGGGGAACTCTGACAGTATGGGAAAGTAGTGGGGTTGGGATGGCAGTGGGGGTCTCTGCACGTGATAGTTTTAAAGAAATGTCTCAATACCAGTGTTGCTCAAGTTTTAGACATGCTGTCTTAAAGTGAGTCCTAAAAAATTGAAGGCAACTTTTCCCCTGCTTTGTGCATGGCATAATTTTTTCTTTTCTTTCTTACCTGTTGAAATTAATTTCCTTTTATATATTTCTTGTTATTAATCATTTGTATTTTAATTTTAAAAGTAAATAGCTATAATTTGGCGGGAATGGGTAGGATAATGGGGAGAATTTGGTTAAGAATTTCATTAGGGCCAGGTGTGGTGCCTCACACCTGTAATCCCAGCAGTTTGGGAGGCTGAGGTGGGTGGATCACTTGAGGCCAGGAGTTTGAGACCAGCCTGGCCAACATGGCAAAAGCTCGTCTCTACTAAAAATACAAAAATTAGCTGAGCATGGCGGCTCATGCTGTAGTCCCAGCTACTTGGGAGGCTGAAGTGTGAGATTCACTTGGGCCTAGGTGGCGGGGGTGGTTGCAGTGAGTCGAGACTGCGCCACTGTACTCCAAACTGGGTGACAGAGTGAGACTCTGTCTCAAAAGACACAGTGTCATTAGAAAGTAGTTTCTGGGAACTTCACTAAAATTAAAAGCATCAATTTGATAAAAACCAAATAGATATACATCAGTATATGGGATAATACATTGTTTCCAAGAGAAGTAATATTTTACTATGCCATATTATTTAGTAAACATAAGTCTTATTTTATTAGATGACTAATTTTTAAAGTTTTAGTTGAATAACTTTGATATATGAACCAAGAAAATGAAACCCATAGACATGAATTGACTGTTACTGCAGGTAGCATCACATCTTGATGCTACCTGCAGTAACAGTCAGTTCTACCACATGCGACAAACTGGAACTAGTATCATACCTAGAATTCCCAGATGTTCTTCTTCTGCTTTTCTCTCCACTGGAACACTGAACGTACTATCAGTATACTGTCGATACACAACTTTCTTGTACTTTGAGCCTATGTAAAACTCTTCCTTATCTAAAAATGCATTGGAAACACTTAAAAAGAAAAACTAAGGTTAGTATTTGTCTTAATGAAAATGGAATTTAAGTTTTAAACTTTAAATTTTAAATAAAAACATAGTTTTTATTAGAGCAATTATAGTAGTTTTTAATCATCAGTCTCTTACCCAAGTAAGAAAGAATAATAAGACTTAAAAGTATGTGTGGGAGAAAGCACACCTAGCCATTTGAGTGTAGCCATCTGAGTCCTGGCCTCTGCCCTGCCACTAGCGAAAATTTCCTCCAGCTAGTCACTGCCTGTTGGAACCTTAGTTTTCTCATCCCTAAAATGAGATATTTGAACAGATCATATCTAAGATTTCTTTATAGCTTTAAAATTTGATGAGTCCAATATTTCTGATTATAGGAACTGAAATGGACATCTTTTCTGAGGCATTCCCTTTTCCTGAAGTTTTCACTTACTTCTAACCTGGAGACTTTTAACCATTTTACCCCAATTACAAAATAAACTTTTACTTCTTCACACTGCAAATCATACTCAGTACTGCTGTAAAACTAACCAGGTAGCCACTTCCTAGCCACAGGTCACCAGTTGTGCTGTGCACCCTGGATCTGAACACCTGCCCATCCCAGTCCCTCAGATCATCTCCATGTGGTCAGTGCACAATGTAAGTGAGATGATGAAGAGGAAAGTGCTTGGAAAAGTATGAAAAAAGGACTAACTAGAAGTAATGAGTGATGCTGTTCTAAGTTAATGTTTCTGAAGCTCTAATAGTTACTTACATCTATTCATACAGAATTTATTTTGTACCTTTTCATAATGCACATGTTACTGGGAATTTTGTGCCATTTTTTCCTGTAAGTTCTTAGAGGGTAGAGAATCATATCAGCAACATCACCTTCAAGCATTTAAAATATTCCATACATACCAGTTTTAGGAATGTGAAATGACTGATTGTTGGACTAACAATGAAATCTTTGAAGAAAAAATAACAAATGGTAAGGGGAATAATATTTCTTCTCTGAATTTGGTCATTAATTTTTGTTAAGTTTGAAAATAAATGGCAACAAGAGGGCACATGAATGTGAGAAGACACTCCAATAGAGAAGAAAGCAAGACTCCAAAGGATCAAAGGAGATACATGGAAATTTTCCCTTGAGGAAATTGAGAGAAGCAGAAATGAATGAGGACAAGTTCCTGGGAAGTGTTTTGTTGTTATTTTGGTTGTTATTGTTTAATGCAACTGTTTTTTTTTTCTTTTTTTTTTTTTTTAGAAAATTTGGTGTAATTCTTACTTCTCTGAAAAGGAAACTTAAAATTACAACAGAAATTGGGAATCAGAGTCTGCAGAATTACTTTTGCTCTTGTAAATGATGCAGCTCCTTTTCCCACTTCCTTTGTGGGGAATAATCCCATTCCACCTCCACTGCTGCAATGTAGTATGTCTTCTCTCCCAGGTAGAAGGTAGAATCCTCAGACTGCTGTCTGCATTTTTTCACAGTATATGTTTGCTTCATGCCGCCTGTGTAGTGATCAGTTGTAAGGCATTCAACATTAAAAGTCCCTGGAGTGGTAAATAAGAAAACATGTCACTTCTTTGCTAGTGCCCTCTGGGGCGCCCCACCTTCCTTAGAATTAATACTGAAGTCCTTATTGTGGCCTCAGTTAGATGATCTAGCTTTTCCACACCTCTATTTACATCCCCTCCTGCTCACCCTGCTCCATCCACATAGGCCTTTTGCTGTTCTTAGAACAGGTCAAGTGTGTGCCTGCCTAGAGACATTTGCCCTTGCTGTTTCCTCTGCCTGAACCACTTCTCCCCAAAATATCCTCATGGTTCATGCCCTCATTTTATTCTGGTCTCTCCTCCTGAGAGAATCTTGACCCTTTCCCCTCTCAGTCACCATCTCATTCCCCTGCCTTATTTTTCTTTATGTACTTATAATCATTTGACATATATGTATTAAAATACTTGCTTGTTGCTTGTCTCCCTGCATTAGAATTTCAGCAGCATGAGGTATCTTATCTCTCTTGTTCATTGTTATATTTACATTTGTTGAAGGAAGGAAAGAGTGACACTGGATTGATCTAAAGTTTCAGTGGCATATAATAAACCAAATAAAGCCTGAAACAAGTTAGCACATTTTCACATTTTGATTAAAAGTCTTCCTCTTCTGTTTTAGCTTGTTTTACTCATTTAGAGCTAGGTCTGTAGATGTCTCTAAATTCACATGGCTACAATTCTAGAATAGAATATTCACTTGCAACCGACAAGCCAACACTATGTCTAGGCTACAGAGACATGATAAAAAGTTTAGGTGCAGAATATTTAGGGAGTCATTCCCCTTCTAGACTGATTTTCCAGCTATCTTTAAAAGGACCATAATTTAAAAAGGGATCATCTTGGCCAGGTGCGATGGCTCACGCCTGTAATCCCAGTACTTTGGGAGGCTGAGGCGGGAGGATCACGTGGTCAGGAGCTCAAGACCATTCAGGCCAACATGGTGAAACCCCATCTCTACTAAAAATATTAAAAAATTAGCTGGGTGAGGCGATACACGCCTGTAGTCCCATCTACTGGGGAGGCTGAGGCAGCAGGAGAATTGCTTGAACCTAGGAGGCACAGATTGCAGAGAGCCGAGATCACACTCCAGCATTACAGTCTGGGCAACAGTGCTAGACTCCGTCTCAAAAAAAAAAAAAAAAAAAAAAAAAAAAAAAGGAATCATCTTGAGGAGCCTATGGTGGAAACAGAGAAAACCACAGCCTGTTGCTTTCTTACTCCACATTCTCCTCAATAACTAGGAAACAGATCTATCTGGTACATACTTGAGCTGATAGCGGCCCAGACTTGCTCTTTCTTTCTTTCTTTTTTTTTTTGTTTGTTTTTTGTTTTTTTTTGTTTTTTTTTGAGACAGAGTCTCATTGTTACCCAGGCTGGAGTGCAACGACGTGATCTCAGCTCACTGCAACCTTAATCTCCCAGTTTCAAGTGATTCTCCTGTCTCAGCCTCATGGGTAGCTGGGACTATAGGTGTGTGACACCATACCCAGCTAATTTTTGTATTTTTAGTAGAGACGGGGTTTCACTATGTTGGCCAGGCTGGTCTCGAACTCCTGACCTCGTGATCTGTCCACCTCGGCCTCCCAAAGTGCTGGGATTACAGGTGTGAGCCACCGCCCTCGGCCTTCCTTTTTCCATGATAGGAAGAGCACTGGGAGGCTTGAGGAAGGGATAAGTTTGTCACCTAGCACATTCTGCTACAGGATTTTAAACCAAAACTACACAAATACATCCAATAGAGACTTGGCTTTAAATAAATATACCCTCTGTGTCAGGCCACATGAGGAGCGTAAGACTTGTTTGGGGGAAGAGGTTTGCTGTGTCTCTCCGTTCTCCTCTCCACAGATATGTGTTTCCTGAAAAGTATATCCCATGTACATCGGCCTCATTTCCAGCGCTGAATAAGTACCACACAACTGAATCTCCTTTGCACATACTGAGACCAGGCTGATTCCCATACATGAATCCATTCATGGCTGTAAAAGTTAGAAAATAACATTGTGGAAGTGGTTTAGGTTCTACTACATGACAACCTCTGAGACTTTCCAGACCAACTTTGTTGTTTTTTTTTAATTTTTAAATTAAGAACTAGGGAAATAACATTTTGGAAGTGGTTTAGGTTCTACTACGTGACAACCTCCGAGAATTTCCAGACCAACTTTGTTTTTTTTTTTTTAATTTTTAATTTAAGACCTATTCAGGCCTGCCTACGCTTTACGTGTCAGGAGTGTCCCTGCGACTCCTTGCCGTTCTGGCACTTTCCGAGCGGCCTCTGGCTGAAAAGAGCAGAGCTGAATGCATAGTTCTTGAAGTTCTATGCTAGTGTCCCTAGCAACCTGGGAATCTCACTGTTCTTCCTGGCTAAAACAGTGATTCTGTTATTTCCAGTTATTTAAGTGGTTATATTTGTGAACACCCAAATCTGTGAATAATAACAGCTTTTCCTGGGCACCGTATGCTGGAAGTGTGTTGCTGTTCCAGGTGAAAAAGTCTCTGATTCATCTTGACTAACAGGGAAGGTCATATGTAGGAAGTTTTTTCCTTGCTTACCTTGCATATTTAATTATTTCCAAAGAATAATATTCTCAGTGCCTCCAAATATATAAAAATGCAGAATCAAAAGAAGTATTTTAAAGATTGTGGGTAGCATGACTAGTACTGGTCTAACTTTAAAAAATCAGTTTATAACACAACTTTACATGTTTTTCTTCTACTAGCTACAATAACTTGTACTGTTGTCCATTAGTGGTGTAGGCCTTTTGAATAATGAGCTCACTGTCTCTGAGCTCTAACCACTTTTAAGAATTACAATAGATATTTTTAAAAATCTAACGTTAGATTTAAATAAAATCTCTGGGGGTGTTCCGGGCACTGGTCATTTTTTAAAAGCTCCCGGGTGATTCTAACGTGCAGTCAAGGGTTAGAATCATTGAGGGCTGAGATCATATCTTTCTGCATATTGAATAATCAGATGAGCCTGTCATCACTGAGCGACAGATGAGAAAAGCATTTAATCCAGTAGTTTTCAAACTGTAGTGTTCATCAGGATCACCTGCAGAGTTGGTTTAAAACAGATGGCCGGGATCCATCTCCAACGTTTCTGATTTTGTAGGTCAGGATAGGGATCCAAGAATTTGCATTTCTAATAAGTCCCTCGGTGATGCTGAGGCTGCTGATCTAGGGACCACACTTTAAGGACCATTCATATAATTGACATATCTTGAATTAAGTGAAATAATGAGTAATTGACTGACACATCAAATAACCAATGATATTACCTCCAGGGCACTATTGTAATTATTTATTGAAAAATAATCAATGAGCAAAGCTATTCACATTTTGGTTTAGTTAAAAGCATTACATATGTAGTACTAAAATAACTTGGTAGGTTGATGGATGATGCAGTACTTACAGTGCATCTTATTAGATTCCTGAAAGTCTTCATCTTCCTTATCCACCTGATCAGGTGCAGTTGTAAACATTCTAATATTATCCTCCAGGAGTAAACTCTCATTCTCATCAAATACTGTAGGAAACAAATAGAACTCCTTGTCTACATCTTTCTGTAAATCAAAACAAAATGAGATGGAGACAGAATGATTAAAGCAGAAGACTTCCATGTGCACAATACTGTTTGTGCACACACACAAGTAAAGGAAGGAATGAGAACAGAAGTTTCTGTTGCTCTTTGTAAACTAGAGTTCGTGAAATACCTCAGATCACCACCAGAGCTTTCTTTGGTATCTGTTTAGTGCACTTATGGTTCAACATGATAATCTGAGTCTCTCTCTGCATCTAAAAGTTCTAACTCTACCTTCCTGCCCATGTTGTGCATACCAGTTGAAGCCACCAAAAAAAAAAAAAAAAAAAAAAGATTGTAAAAATAGAGGAGAATATGGGTCTGTGCTGGAAATCAGGGAAGATGCCACCCACATTCATGAAAACTGAAAGAATTCCTGTAAGGCAGAGCAGGATGGAAGCAGATTGAGGAAGAAATCATCCTAGATGAATTTGAACAGAGATTCATACACTCTCCACCCAGCTGTACAAACATTCTCACCTCCTCCCACTTCTCCCAGTGGAAAAAAGGAAGCAGAAATGCTATCTGGTCTATGAAATGATTCAGTAGTTCAGAAGAAGGCAGTCAAAGAAATCAAAGCAAATGAGCCCCTCCCTGAGAATGAGTGACTCTCAAAGCACAGAATAGAGATTATTGCCTATCTTTCCCTTGAGATAAGTTCTTCAGATACATGACAAGGTGATTATCAAATTAAAAAAAAATTGAACTAAAACAAAGACCTGAAGGTTAGACCCTGCAAAGAACTGAATAAATGATAAAAGTGATCTAAAGAAAGCTCCCATAAATCAGAGGAGAGCATTCCAAGATGAAAAATATACACATTCTAATGATTTTAGGAAGAAGTTATAAAAGGAGGAGGCACAAACACAAGAAATACTAGTGAAAGTGTTTGCCACCACAAAGGGAAAAGACTAGAGGATTCAGATGCAAAAGCTTCACTGAAAACAAGACAAAATTAGTAATAGAGATCGATACCTAAAAATATCCTGAGAAATTTTCCGTTTTAAAAATGTTATCATAAAACAAAAAATCAGGTTGACATTGAGATTATCAAGTACAATAAATGCCAGAAGAAGGTGAAGTAGCATTTATCTTTTTGAGAAGAAAATATGCTACAAAAATGTAATACCAGGTAAAGAACAACAAATGTCATTTTCAAACGTCTAAGCATTCCAACAGGGACTGGTACAATCACTTATATACTGATCGACAGAGAAAACTTCAATGAAATGTTTTCAGGTCATATTTTCTGATCATAATGCAATAAAATTAAAAATTACTAGTCAAAGACAAAAAGTAAAAAAAAGGTATGTCAGTTTTGATCCAAATAACTCTTAGATCAAAGAAGAAATAAAAATGAAATACTGAGATTGGTAAGTAATTTCTGTGAGAACACTGTAAAGAAAAATGTATGAAATATAACTAAACATATAAACTAAGAATTGAAAAGCTTTGTGTCTTAAACAAAACCAAATGAAAATAAATGTAAATATCTAAAAATTTTTTAAAATTGGTTATGGAGAAAAATTAATAAAGACAAAAGCATAAATTAACAAATTTAACACAGGTAAAATAATTAAACCCAAAACTATATTATTTGAAAAGACCAGAGAAATATATAAATCTCTGGCAAGTCTAATTTTAAAAATGGAAAGAACCAAAAAATACCACATTAGAAATGAGAAAAGAATATAACCACAAATATAGGGGTGAAAAATTTAAACCATTATATGCAATAAATGTGATCAACTGACTTAGAAAGAAGTGCCTGACTAGACCAGTACTAATGAATGAAATCAGTTATTAAAAACATAAACAGGCTGGGCGTGGTGGGTCACACCTGTAGTCCCAGCACTTTGGGAGGCCGAGGCAGGCAGATCACTTGAGATCAGGATTTTGTGACCAGCCTGGCCAACATGGTGAAACCATGTCTCTACTAGAAATACAATAATTAGCGGGGTATGGTGGTGCATGCCTGTAATCCCAGCTACTCTGGAGGCTGAAGCAGGAGAATCACTTGAACCCGGGAGTCGGAGGTTTCAGTGAGCTCAGATCGTGCCACCACACTCCAGCCTGGGTGACAGAGCAAGACTCAATCTCAAAAAATACGGAATCCAAAGGTAGAAAACCTTTTTTATTTCAGTTACATATTTAAAAAAAATTTTTTTGAGACAGAGTCTCGCTTTGTTGCCCAGGCTAGAGTGTAGTGGTGCAGTCTCAGCTCATATCAACCTCCACCTTCTGGGTTCAAGCAATTCTCATGCTTCAGCCTCCTGAGTAGTTGGGATTACAGACATGGGCCACCACACCCAGCTAATTTTTGTAATGTTAGCGGAGATGAGGTTTTTCCATGTTGGCCTGTCTAGTCTGAACCCTTGACCTCAGGTGATCCGCTGGCCTCCGTCTCCTAAACTGCTGAGATCATAGGTGTGAACCACTGCACCCAGCCACATATTTAAAATTTTAAATAATGGTGTTACCATTTACAAAGGCCAAATAAAAATAAAATATCTTGGCATAATCTTTTTAAAAAAATCCAAGAACTATACCCTTGAAAAACATAAAAGTTGACTTGAACAAATGGAAAGACTGTTCTTATGTAGGATGACTCAACTTCATAGTTATGTCTGTTCTCTCTAGTTTAACTTAACACGTTTGAGACAATCCCAGTAAAACACTATCAAGTCTTTTTTCCAGATCTAGATAAACTTTTCTAAAGTTCAGTAGAAAGAATAAGCAAAAATAACCATTAAAATGATGGAAAAGAAGAGCAGTGAGGCATAGCTACTAGCCATTAAACATATTAAAGGGCTCTCTAATTAAAGCAGTACGTTATTGGTGCATGAATAGATAAAGACCAGCAGAACAGCATAGAAAATCTAGAAATAGACTCACTTATGTATAAATATTTTAGTAGATGATAAAGGCAGCATTTCAATCAATGTGGGAAAGTTTAGCTTTTTTGTGAATAATGTTGAAATAACTGATAGCCACATAGAAAAAGATAAATTTGATCCACTCCTCAACTGTACCATTTATTTCCTATCAGATTGGTGAAAATCCCCAAATTTGACAATATAGTTTGTAATAATGCTGTGGAAACACAGACAGTCTCATATATACCTTCTGAAAATACAAACTGGCACAACTACACTGGGGATTTGGCAATATTTCACAAAACTGTTTAAGCATTTACCTTTTGTCCCAACAATACAACTTATAGGAATTTATCACAAAGGTATGCCAGCAAAAATACAGAGAGATATGAACAAGGCTAACAAGGCTGTACATTGTTTTTTATTTGTGTACATTGTTTTGTATTTCTAGTAAAGACTAGAAACAACCCAAACACTTATCAAGTAAGGGACTGATTGTATAAACTGTAGCATGTCCACACATCAGAGTAATATATACTATGCAAAGAAATGAGGAATGTGCAATATTTCCATACATTAGTACGAAGAGATGTTCAGATTCTATTGTGAAGTGAAAAAAGCAAAGATATGAATACACAAACTTGTTTATTTAAAATTGGAAGAATAAACTATAAAGTGAAAAAAAAAGCTACCTATGGTTAGGAGGCAGAGAATAGGTGGGAGGGGGAAGGGATGGAAGCTAGACTTATTTGAATATACCCTTTTTATAGATTTGGTGTTAATGCGATATGAATATTTTACATAAAATAATATTACAGTTTTCAAAGCAATTTCTTTAAAAAGATAAGTAAAACGAATTAAATAAATCCGCATATCCAGTGGTGGCAAAACTATGTAGAGAAGAACTATCCCAAGTGACTTTAAATATGTAATTTGGCTAAAAATCTCTAGTAGGATCTACTCTAAGGACAAAGTGGCAAACAAATCTTAAACTGTTTTCAGTTATCATATTGTTGATTGCAGTATTGTAATTGGGATTCTGAGACTGATGTGTGTATATTATGGGATGAATCAAGTGAATGTGTTGGTGTTATTAAAAAAATAAGATTTTTCAGTGCAATTTAAGGCAGAAACAAATATAAGATTGATGCAGTCAATAACAAAAAAATCTGTAGATTGAAATTCAAATAGAAAGAACTAGTATGAAATCATGATGAATTTATCTGAAAAGTTTTTTTCCCCATTTCTTTCCACTGCAAAGGCTCAGAAATAATGGTTTCCCCAATAGCAACAAGCACTTCTAGTGCCCACATTGTGGTTCTAGGAATGATTCCTCACCAAAAGAAAAACAAAAAAACAAAAAATGGCTTTTGGGAACAAATGGTTAGTTCCAGTTCTGGCTCAGAAAACGTACAAAATGAGCCTGATGTCTCACTATACTAGAAAGCAGAGAATCTTCAAAGACTGCGATGATGTAAAAATAAGGAAGTCAACCTGAACAAGTCCTTCAGTGTCAAAAAGGATACTTTGAACATCAGTAGGGATAATGGCAGTGAATTGTAACACACCAAATATGCTTAAATCCATGAGTGCGCAATGCTACTTAAAAGGAAAAAAATTATTGAGAAGTCTTTGAAGAATGCTAGAGGAGAGTAATTAATTTGAAAACTGGTAAATACAGGGAATGAATCAAGTATTTGTCATATGCTTTCTATATACTGTGTACCTCAGGGTAACCAAATAATTCATTAAGACGTTTCTGTTTGTAGAGAAGTATGCCAGCTAATAAAGAAAGGAAGATGGAATTAGAATAGTACTATTATGTAACCCTGATTAGTTTATGAATCTAGGAAACCATCATCAGTAGCTGATAACATCCCCAATTAAGGGACAGCTATAAATTAACTACTCCCTGATAGAAGTGCTCAGTACCATATTTGAAGTAGTCTTGAAAGAAAAAAAAATCTGAATCAGATCAAACTTTTAGATCTAACTACTAGTTACAAGAAATAGAAGCAGAGAGAAAGAAACATGTTTTAGCAATCCCCAACATTTTTGGCACCAAGGACCAGTTTCATGGAAGATAATTTTTCTACAAAAACGCTGGGAGAGAGGGAGGTTTCTGGATGAAACTATTCTACCTCAGATCATCAGGCATAGATTCTGATAAGGAACCTAGATCCCTCACATGCACAGTTCACACTAAGGTTTGAGCTCCTATGACAATCTAATGCCACCACTGATTTGACAGGAGGTGAGCTCAGGTGATAACACCTGCTGCTGACTTCCTGCTGTGTGGCCCAGTTCCTAACAGACCATCTAACAGGCTCACCTCCTGCTGTGCGGCCACAGGGGGGTGTGTGTGTGTGTGTGTGGAGGGGTGGTGGTTGGGGACCCCTGTGTTAAATGATACTGCAGGGATAAAATAAGTAAAATCATGACATAGGAAACTTCTATAGGACCGATGACTCTAGCAACAGAAAAATTTCAAGTAAACAACCTTAGGAAACACATAAATTCATTGTAATATGTGTAATTGTTTGGATACTGATTCAAACAACAGACTTAATAAATCAGTTGGGGAAATGTGAACATTGATTGGCCATTTGATAACTTTAAGGAGTTATGGTGTGTGGTTATTATTTTAAGGTGTGATAATTATGGGCATTTTTAAAGACATCCTTATCTTTTTTTTTTTTTTTTTTTTGGGAGACAGAGTCCGCTCTGTCAACAGGCACCAGGCTGGAGTGCAGTGACGCGGTCTCTGCTCACTGCAACCTCCGCCTCCCGGGTTCAAGCAAGTCTCCTGCCTTAGCCTCCCAAGTAGCTGGAACTACAGGTGTGTGCCACCATGCCCAGCTAATTTTTTGTATTTTTTTAGTAAAGACGGGGTTTCACCATGTTGGCCAGGATGGTCTCGATCTCTTGACCTCATGATCTTCCCGCCTTGGCCTCCCAGAGTGCTGGGAGACATCCTTATCTTTTAAAGGTATATACTAAAGTATTTTTGGAGATAATGATAAGGTTAGATATTTCTATTTCTATGTCAAATGATCATTTTCAAAGAGATTGAACAATTGTTCATCTCATGTGTTTTTTCCCCAATTGGACTTACCTGTCTCCCATTTGCATGTAAACTTCCTTTCTTGCATATTTTCATTGGTCCAATAAGCCCAGTGAATATATCTTTAGTGGGATCCACAGCAGAATAATACATCTTAGCTAGACATACAGGATCTGCATAAGTGGGTCCTACTTCTTCAGGGACTGTCCATTCATAGGTGAATGTTCCTGTGGGTGCCACATGGGAGGCTGAAGAAGGCACACCTGAGAAATGCCACATTAGAGAGAGGTTAAGTGTGCTTTCTAATGTAGTCATTTCAGCCACAAAGCAGACTAAGTTTAGTCTAGAATAGCCCAATTCTGAGTTCTTAGTTAAAAATTAGAATGAAATCCCACTTATGCTCTAGTGTCAGATAACAGAGCCATGTGATCGCATCCAGATAGACTCTTTTTTTTTTTTTTAAGGTGGAGTGTCGCTCTGTTGCCAGGCTAAAGTGCAGTGACTCAATCTTGGCTCACTGCAACCTCCTCCGCCTCCCAGGTTCAATTAGTTCTTCTGTCTCAGCCTCCCAAGCAGCTGGGACTATAGGCATGCTCCAGCACACACAGTAAATTTTTGCATTTTTAGTAGAGACAGGGTTTCACCATGTTGGCTAGAATGGTCTCGATCTCTTGACCTAGTGATCTGCCCACCTCGGCCTCCCAAAGTGCTGGGATTACAGGCGTGAGACACTGCACCAGGCCCCAGATAGACTCTTCTAAACCTCCTGGGATTGGTTTCCCTCTTCGTGCTCACACATCTTCCAGGAACGTCCCTAGCACCTTTCATGTTATATTGTATTTCTCTTGAACAGAACTTAACTTTCTTGAAGGCAAGCACTGTATCTATATTTCTATCAACCAGAACAATGCCTGGCAATACAGTGTAATCAATGCACTTTCTATTGAATAAAATGAAACTGAAAATAATTGTAGAATTGAAAGGAACTTTGCAAGTGATCCTATTTGAATCTCTCAAATTTACGCCTGAGAGAACTGAGGCCAGAAAGATTAAATAAACTGCCCACAGTCATACTGGAGGTGTTAGCAAAGTCACTAGTCTTCACTGGCCATCCTTGATATGTAAAAATAGTCAAAAACATCCACATGATGAAATATTTTATATCATTAAAATTATGTTTATAAAACTCTTATAATGCTAAGAGAACAAACTGATGATGAAATTAAAATAATATGTGCTATGATATCAACCTCATTTAAAATATATATTATATGTATACAGATGAAAGTGGAAGAATTATATAAAAATATAATAGTGATTGTTTATAGAACTATGGACAATTAATATTTTGGCTACATTTTTCTATATTTTCAAATATTCTAAAGTGAACATCGAACATTCTTATAAGAAGTTTTTTTAAAATTAAAATCACCCGGAATACTCCAGAAATGTAAAATCGATAAAACCCAACTAAATTACTATTAGCATTGTCAATAATCATCCAATTAAGGCAGGACAAAACTCCGTAAACCAATTGGAGGTAGGAGAAGTGGCTTATTTGTTTCCTGGCATGATGCCTAGAAATGATATATGAGTATTTTCCTTGGGAGTTCCTGCTTTTGGTTTCTGCAGGACACTGTAAGTGACCAGTGTAGTGGGTTATTAAATGTTGATTGGTTACAGAGTGCCATACTCACTTCCACTCTGGGTCTTGTAATGTGAGGAGTAGTGTGTGCCCTCGTTGTTCTTACTGAATCTCACCCCAATTGGCTCAATACTGAGGGGATATTCCCCTTTGTTATGGAAGGTTACTCTGATCGTGTCTCCTACCTCTGCCCAAATGACAGGACCTGGGAACAAAGAGAGAATTATTATCCTTCCTTGGTATATAACAGGCAGAACGTATAAGACAGTTATCTTCTTTGACTGTGTCCTCTGGCAAGAACTACTAGGAGCAACATACCTATTTGTGGCGAATGGAAAGCTTGGTTTTTGAAAAGTCTATAATCAATCTGATATGTTGAGGTTTGAAGGAGGGAAGGGCTTTTTAGTCCAACTCCAGATTAATGAAATCGATTATCATTTTTGTACACGTCAGTTAGTAAGCTTTACACATCTACAAAAACTATCCAGAGTGTTGACACTCCTCAGTCTAATCTTCTGTTGACTAGAGGTGTGTCCTTTGTCCTGAAAGTTAGGTACTATAAACTTGGATCACCCAAAGCAGGTAAGTTGAATTATTTTGGATGCGAAGGATAACACTGTTTTGGATTTTCCATGACGAAAATTAGTGATTACCAATTATAGAATAAAAACATATATTTTACATAAATATTTTATGTAATATACAAAATGATATTTATCGAGAGCTTCCTATCTGTTCTTCTGAGTGTTTATATGTATTAATTCATTTAATTCCTATACCAACCTTAGTAACTATTGTTCCCATTTTACAGAAGGGAACAGACACAAATAATGAATAAATCTCTTTTTTTCTTTCTTTCTTTTTTTCTTTTTTTGAGACAGAGTCTCACTCTATTGCCCAAGCTGGAGTGCAGTGGCATGATCTCAGCTCACTGCAACCTCTGCCTCCTGGGTTCAAGCAATTCTCCTGCCTCAGCCTCCTGAGTAGCTGGGATTATGTACCCACCTAATTTTTGTATTTTTTTTTTTAAGTAGAGACAGAGTTTTGCCATATTGGCCAGGCTGGTCTCAAACTCCTGACCTAAGTGATCTGCCTGCCTCAGTCTCCCAAAGTGCTGGGAATACAGGCATGAGCCACTGTGTTTGGCCAAGTTGAGTAACTTTCAAAAGTCACACAGCTAATATATGCATTTCATACTCACAAAAAACCAGCTTTTTATAAGACCCTCCAATTCTTGTAATACCTTGTTGAAAAGTATTATACCTCTGAATCACCGCCAAGAAAAAAAAGTGAAGAGCCAGGACAATCTGAATCCATACTCTACTCACCCACTAGGCTATTCTGCCTCAGTGCCTTGGAAAGAACAGGTCTCTGGACTCTGCTGGGGGCAGCCTGCAGAGGGCTCTAGCATAATTGCGCTGGTCTCATTAATGGACTGGGTTTTCTTTGTTTGTTTATTTATTTATTTATTTATTTATTTAGATGGAGTCTTGCTCTGCCGCTAGGCTAGAGTGCAGTGGTGCGATCTCAGCTCACTGTAACCTCCGTCTCCTGGGTTCAAGCAATTCTTCTGCCTCAGCCTCCCGAGTAGCTGGAACTACAGGTGCATGCCATCATGCCCTGCTAATTTTTGTATTTTTAGTAAAGATGGGGTTTCACCATGTTGGCCAGGATGGTCTCAAACTCCTGACCTCAAGTCATGCACCTGCCTCGGCTCCCCAAAATGCTGGGATTACAGGCATGAGCTACCACTCCCAGCCATCAGCATGGCTTTTAATGATGAAAATTTACTATTGATAATTTACGTTTGGAAAAGTAATTAGCTGCTACATTTTATTGTTTTATCTTCCACACACCTACTTTACACATAGAAATCATGCAGTAGGTCCTGAAGTTACTATTCTTTCTGAGGTTGGTGTAGACTGTGGGAAGAGTACACCAGCCATATATATTCTGCATGTACTCACCGAGGATGCCAAGATGCTCTTCTTCAGGGCCTCTCACCTTTCGATTTGTGAAGGAGGCATCTGTGTACTCACGATAAACCAGCTTTTTATAAGAGCCTCCAATTCTTGTGGGACTTTGTTCAAAAAACACCTTTGAGTCACTGCCAGGGGGGAAAAAGTGTTTAATGCTGGGCTTGAAATAGAACAGAAAACAGGTATTCACATAGGGTAAATGAAGAGAAAAATTCTGACAGTGCTTAGAGATGAATATTATCCATGATTTATAGCAATCATATCAGTTACTCAAACAGAGCAGGCAGTTCCAGGCCACTCATACAGGGATGGCAAGTTAAGAAGTAGAGAATCATGGAGGATGTTTATATTTTCAAGTGAAGAAAAAATTTTCAGGCGGGCCCTTGACAATCCCTTGACAAAGGGTTCTACCATAGATTTTTTTTTTTTTTTTTGAGATGGAGTCTTGCTCCATCGCCCAGGTTTTTGGAGTGCAGTGGCGTGATCTTGGCTCACTGCAACCTCCGCCTCCTGGGTTCAAGTGATCCTCTGCCTCAGACTCCCAAGTAGCTGGGATTGCAGATGACTACCACCACACCTGGCTAATTTTTGCATTTTTAGTAGAGATGGGAGTTTCACCATCTTAGCCAGGCTGGTCTTGAACTCCTGACCTTGTGATCCACCGTGCCTGGCCAGAATCTTTTTATCAAATTGTGAAATGTTTAAAACACAATGGCTATTCTTTATTGTGTATTAGCACTGGCCAGCTGCTCAGAAGCATTGATTGATTGATTGATTGATTGATTTTTGAGGCAGAGTCTCACTCTGCTGCCCAAGCTAGAGTGCAGTGGTGCAACCTTGGCTCACTGCAAGCTGTGCCTCCCTGGTTCAAGTGATTCTCATTCCTCAGCCTCCTGAACAACTGAAATTGCAGGCTGCACCACCAGACCCAGCTAATTTTTTCTGTCTTTAATAGAGATGGGGCTTCACTATATTGGCCAGGCTGGTCTCGCATCCCAGCCCCAAGTGATCCACTTGCTTTGGCATCCCAAAGTTCCGGGATTACAGGCATGAGCCACTGCGCCTGGCCAGGAGCTTTTATTTATTAGCTGGAACTCACATGACATTGCAACAAAGTCAGTACTATTCTCCATATTTTGCAAATGAAAAAATTAAATTTCAGAAAGATATTTATTTGACTTGCACAATGCCACCTCATTCATCATTTCTTTCATTTGACAAATGTATTGAACACCTGCTCTTTGCTGAGAATCCTGGTATGTGTTGATGACTTAACCACAAGCAAAGTGGACTCATCCCTGTCCACATGGACCTTACATCTGGCAGAGAAGACAGGCCATGAACCCATCAATATAATGTAGTATAATAAGCGCAGGGTGTTACGGAGCATTTCTTTGAGGTTGGGGAAAGTGCAGGGAAGAAGCCACAAGGATGTTCCAGAGGAAGTAATTACTTAAAACTAAATGGGAAGTAGAGTTAGCAAGATGAAGTGTGTGTGTAGCGGGAAGACGGGGGTAGGTGTATACAAAGAGAAAACTGCCTGTGAGAAGCCTGAGAGAAAAGAGCGAGCATGCCATGTTACAGATAATATTCTAGGTAATATGGATAAGCATATTTTCTAGAAGGACAGCATGCAGGGCAGGGCAGAGGAGTGAAGAATAAGGCTTAGATAGATGGAAGATAGGTAGGAGGACCTAGCTGAGGTTTCAGCCTTCCATCCCAGGGCAGTGAGAAGCATTTGGAAGACTTAAGCATTCAGGATTAGCATTTTAGGAGGATCCCTGTGGCAGCTGTTGGGAGAATGTGTTGGAAAATACAAGACTGCAGTAGGGAGACCAGTCAGGAGCGTGCTTTTCTAATTTCAGTGAGAGGCAGAGATGATTTCATAGGTATTGGCAAAGAAGATGGAGAGAAGTAGATAGCTTTCAGAGAAAGTTACTATAAAATGAGGCAGTACTTGATGAGGATAGAATGTGAACAGCCTCATCCAAGGAGTGTCACTGAGAAGTTTGAAATGCAAATCTGAAATTCACAAGAGCCTTCTGAGTTGGAGATGCAGCTTTGGGAGTAATCACATTTAGGTGTCAGTATAGCCTGTGACTTACATCTCTGCTTCAGGAGTCACAGGTCTGGGCTGAGCAAGGGCTAGCTATCCATTTATTGTGTGATGTTGAATGAATTACTTAACCTTTCCAAGGAGGGTATTTTTAATATGGATGGCAAACAGGTCTTCTCTGAGGAAGCGATATATGAGTAAAGACTTGGGGCAGGGAGTGGCATCATCTCACTGACATTTTTGAAAGATCACAGTACTGCTTTGTAAAAACTTGATAGGAAAGGAAGACGAACAGATGGCTGGGAGGCTGTGGAAGTCATTTAGACATGTACAAAGAGGCACTTCTGTACATCAAAGGACACTATCAAGAGAGTGAAAGACAACCTATAGAGTATCAGAAAATATTTGCAAATATTTGATAAGGAATTAACATCCTAAATATATAAAGAACTCCTACAAGTCAACAGCAACAAAAAACCCCACTTCAAAAATGGCTGAAGGACTTAAATAGACATTTCTCTGATGAAGATACACAAATGACCAAAAAGTACATGAAAAGATCCTCAACATTACTAGTCATTAAGAAAATGCAAATCAAAACCACTATGAAACATGATCTCATGCTCATTAGGATGGTCATTATTAAAAAAGAAAGAGAAAGAAAGAAAGAAAGAAAGAAAGAAAGAAAGAAAGAAAGAAAGAAAGAAAGAAAGAAAGAAAGAAAGAAAGGAAAAGAAAGAGAAAGAAAGAAAGAAGAAAGAAAGAAAGAAAGAAAGAAAGAAAAAAGAAAGAAAGAGAAAATAACAAGTGTTGATGAAAATGTGAAGAAATTGGAACCCCTGTACATTGCTGATGAGCCTATTAAATGGTGCAGTTGCTATGAAAAACAGTAATGTGATTCCTAAGATACTTAAAACTAGAATTATCATATGATCCAGCGATTCCACTTCTAGCTGCATATACAAAAGAATTAACAGCATAGACTTGAACAGTGATATTTGTATAACAATTATTCATAACAACATTATTCGCAATAGCCAAAAGGTGGAAACGACCCAAATGTTTATGAAAAGATGAATGAATAAAGAAAATGTGGTACATATATACAACGAAGTATTACTCAGCCTTAAAGAGGATTGGAATTTGGATGCATGCTACAACATGAACAAATCTTAAAACATTATGCTATGTGATATAAAAGACACAAAAGGACCAATATTGTATGATTCCACTTGTATGAGTTGCCTAGAATAGGAAAACTCATAGAGACGGAAAGTAGAATTGAGTTTATCAGAGGTGGAGACAGAGTGGAAGAAAGTGGTTATTCTTTAAAGGGTTCAGAGTTTCTATTTGGAGTGATAAAAAAAAAAAAAAGTTCTAGAAATGGATAGTGGTGATGGCTATACAGCATTGAAAATGTACTTAATGCTGCTGAATTGTACAATGCTATGTTTTCTAAATGAAAAGCATATTGATTGATTTATCTAATTGTATTCAATGTTTTTTCAGGACTTTGTCAAGCATTTGATAACTTTTGAACCCATCTTTTTTCATGAACTCAAAACTCATAGTTCTCAAGCTCAGACTCTTACATCAAATACCTTAATAAATATTTAGCAGTCTAAATACTAAATTTCAGATGCCAATTAAAATTTTAATTGCTGAAATAGCCTTTTGTGGTTCTTTTGTGTGGGGAAGAGCATATTTTGAAATAGTACTATTTTTTGTGAATTACCTTTCAGGTGCTGTTAAGTTTTCTTTGGTGAAGATGTCTATACCAGAGGGAGCATAGTTCCAGATGATTTCCTCAGCGGCAATGTAGTAGTGTCTAACATGGTTCCCATGGTTATTATCCTTTGATGAAGACTTGTTACACTCCTGGACCTGAAAAAAGGCTTGCAAACCAGCTGAAATGAAACAGAGAGAGGCATTGATTAATGGAGCCAATGTTTCTCTCTCCTATTGCCCTGTAAACACTGCTCATGAGATGACAAGTGGAAATTGAAGGAATAGATAGAAACACAACTATAAACTAGGGCAAACAGCTGTAAATAAATTAGTGATGGAAAACTCAAATTTAAAACAGACATACTTTGTTTTTTATGTACATATAGCACAGAGATATTAAGTATATGTGTTTTCAAAATATGGTACCAGTTTCTGTGGGGTTTCACTTGGTAGTTCTTTTGATGAGAGATAAAGAACAAATTTATAGATAAACAGAGAAGAGAGGCTTTGACATATTTTAAAGGGTTGCATTGGATAGAGGAGGAGAAACCGAATGAGCATGTATTATTGCTCTCTTGCACAAGATGGTTGTGCATCTGCTGTGTGGGGCCTTCTGTGGCCCAGAGCATATTTGACAAAAGCAATTATATTTGCTTTTATTGAAGTAAAATATCCAAACTCCTATGTTAAACTTAATTTCCTTCAGTCGACCAATATTAAAAACTAATATTTTTCAAGAACAAGGAATGTTTTTATTGCCTAAGTTAAAGAGATAAAGGAAGGATTTATTGAATTAAACTAAAAGATGGCCAGGCTCAAATAAAGAACAAAGTTGGTTATACTTGATGGAAATAAGTTGAAAAACAGGGTACTTTCCAGTGCAACATACAGCATTTCTGGATTTTACAATACTGTATATTTTACAAAGCCGAGTAAACATATACAGTATTCTACTTTCAGGGCCGGTTGTTCTTTTCCAAAAACTAATTTATTTTCAGATCTCATTACTTTATAATATTCCTGTCTTATAGTCTTTTTATTACATTATTATGTATACCATCATAGGAATAAAACTAAGATGCCAGTTCAAACCTCAGATTATTTCAAAGATATTTAACTTTTAGATTCTGATTCCCAGTCATCGCCTTTTTCAGTTGACAGCTAACTTCAGGTAAAGATGTCCTACCTTTCAGATGGTTTAGATTCTGACAGCTGAGCATCCATTCTCCAGGGTTCTGAGCCACCATAAAAGCATCAAACAGGGTAGCAGGAAAGAGGTTGATTGTGTCAATATGGTAGTTTTTGTTGGTCAATGCTTGCCCATGAAAGAAAGCTGCGTGCACATCAACTTCATTACCCATACCAAAAAGGTACCATTTCACTCTGTCTTCAACACACATGGAGAGTCCTGGGAGACTTCCGAAAGTGTATCCATTCACAGCTGTTTAAGCCAAGAGCAGAGTTTGTGACTAATAGTCATTAATGCTTGAGATAGTGAGAGTTACCTCCATATAAATAGAATCAATTTGGAATGGAAAATATCTTGCACACATGCTGGTATTCCTCCCTCTCATACCCATGTCAGACATTGCTAATCAATCACAGCGGTCTTTCATTTTGAAACTGAATCAGCCTGAGGATTCTCATCAATACCGTATTAACAGATGAACACAACACTGGAGATAAAACCTATTTGTTGTCTTTGTTATAAGTTGTGCACAGTGTGTGTGTGTGTGTGTGTAAATACAGATGTTGCATATATATACACAAAACACATACATAGAGTTAATAGAAAAAAGATTGAAGATTATTTAGTATTCAGTTATTAATCATGTTGGTAGTAGAAGTATGGATATTTTATATATATATGTATATATGTTTTTTTGCTTATCAGAAATTTTCCAATTTTCTACCATAAATTTCTTTTGTAAAAAGAACATATGAATAGCTTTTTCTAAAGATTGCAAGACAAAATTTTTAAGATTGGAAAAGATACAAAGGAGGGAAAAAATGTAGGACAGCAGGAACAGAGCCACCAAGACCTAAAAGTTCATATGCAAAGTGGCCTGAAACCCTCGGAAGAAACCTACAATCATTGGCCGGGCGCAGTGGCTCACGCCTGTAATCCCAGCATTTTGGGAGGCCAAGGCAGGTGGATCGCAAGGTCAGGAGGCCGAGACCAGCCTGGCCAACATGGTAAAATCCCATCTCTACTAAAAATACAAAAAAATTAGCTGGGCATGGTGGCAGATGCCTGTAATCCCAGCTACTTGGGAGGCTGAGACAGAAGAATTGCTTGAACCCAGGAGGCAGATGTTGCGGTGAGCAGAGATCGTGCCATTGCACTCCAGCGTGCGCGACAGAGCAAGATTCTGTCTCAAAAAAAAAAAAAGAAAGAAAGAAAAGAAAAGAAACTTATGGTCATTGTTCAAACTGGGTGAGCCTAAACATTTCCCAGGTGGAAATCAGTTCTGGGAAGAATCCTGAGTGCACCATATGTGACACTGGAACCAAACCAAATCCCCTCAGGCTAGAATTTTGACTATGTTTTTATAACATCTATTTTTGTTAGTACACAACAAAGGAATAAAGTATGGAAAGACAACTTTCCACCCAGATATAAGTAAAAGTTGAAACAAAATCTGTACTTTGTTCATTGGTTTATTACTTTGGTAGTATAGTTATTTTTGTGCTCTCAGTTTCTGAGTGCAGGTTATTTTGAAGAAGTTAAACACAAACAAATAAAAAATCTCTACTTATTGGTTTAGTTGTTGTTAAGGGATTCTCTTTCTCATGCAAATTATGAAATAGATAATCTTACTAAGCTCATTATTTCATGTCTGAGAATTAAGAGAAAGTCTAAACTGTTAAAAGGCATTTCCAGAAAAGTAAAGTGAACTGAAATGAAATGTAGAAAAGAATGATGCAGACTAGGGGGCCCAGTGAGGGAACAGAGTATGTAAAATGAATACCTTTCAGAACTCGTGGTTCAAACTATTTTCTTAAATATACTTAGTTTAAAATATAAGTATCGTTTTAAGCATTTATTTTAATAATTTTAGGCTGCCTCAAATAAGTTTTGGAATGAGTCTAGTGGCTAAATAAATATATAAATATCACATACATATACATTAAACCATAATTGCTGTTTTATCCTTACCAGTTTGGAAACAAGTTTGGTATATCTGGATTTACCTGGCTGAGAGTTTTTCATTTGACTTACTTAGCCAAATATCAAATTGCACATCCAATATGCTTTGTTATAAGGACCACAGACTAATACACACTACTTACTTATGTGAGGGAATAAGTTTAGCAGAATTAATGGATCAAGGGAAAAAAAAGTAAGTTAACATGTCTTTTGCAATCTTACAATACATTCTGTTACTCTCCTGGAAGTCTTCATTGTCTTTCTCAACTTTCTCTGGTTCTAAGCAGTAGGTTTTAATGTTGTCTTCTAGGTACCAGCTGAGATTTTCATCCACCACAGAAAACATCACCACAAATTCTTGGTCAATATTTTTTTCTTTTTCTTTGTCTAGAGAATCTGGAGTGAAAATTACTATTTTAGTAGGACTAAATTTTTAGCATGTATTTTGATTTATGTTTTCAGGTGATTTATATTTTTTTTAAACTTTAGTATTTATTTTTTCTAATAAACCACAAGTCTGGACCAATCACTCCTGTTTTATAGACAGAAACACACAGGGAATTTTATGTTCAGCGTCTAGTGCTTGGAAGACACTCCTGTATCTGGATATTGACTGACCACATAACTGTTAAATGCTTTTTGGCAAATGGGAAGATTGGAATTCAAAGTTGTGTGTCTATTTTCTGGTGCAGATAGCCACATGCTGAGACAAGTCTTTACAGGTAACTATTGTTCAAGTTAGAATTATATTTCAGGGTCTTGAGACACATCTTTTTCACAATGTTAGAAATAAATACTATGATGTTGTATTTACCAAGATAATACGAGTTACTACAGATCTATCACCATGGAGTGCCTTTTTGGGAGTCACATTTGGTAGTCATATTCTCTTTGGCACCACTGTTGGAAGTTAGACACAGCAAACTGATCCCAGGGGAGAATACATTTCTTTTTTTTTCCCATTTATTTATTTTATTGCATTTTAGGTTTTAGGGTACATGTGAAGAACATGCAAGATTGTTGCATAGGTACACACGTGGCAGTGTGATTTGCTGCCTTCCTCCCCATCACCTACACCTGGCATCACTCCCCTTGCTATCTCTCCCCAGCTACACATTGGGGTCAGTTGGGGGGAAATAGGGGAGGGACGGTGGGGGGTGGGGAATATATTTCTTTCAGCTTAGCTTCATTGGCATTTTCCCCATATGAATGCTTGTTCCATTTATCCCTTCTTCTCTTAGCCCTGCCTGGCTCTTCCCTTCCTGCTTTCCTACTCACCACCTCTCTACCTTACCTACTTGATCTCAACACAGAAGACTTGACTTATTTTTAACAGATAAACTGCCCTGCCCCTGTCTTTTGGTAGTATAATGAGTGCAATAATGAGAAAATGTACCTTTTTTACAGATTATTAAAGGTCCGATGAGTCCTGAGGCAATATCTTTAGGAGCATCAATGTGGGAATGGTAAATCCTAGTCACGCAATTGCCATCTCCCTCACCAGGACTTTGTTCTTCAGTGGCAAGCAACATGTATGTATACTGCTCTCCTGGAAATACTTTGTCATCTGCTCTTTGAAAACCTGTGGTGTTATCAGGGTAGATGGCCCCTAGGAAGCAACATGCAATGATGGTGCAAAATGAATGCATTTGAACTTAAATGAGAGAAAGATAGTCCATTAATTCATTCAGCAAACATTTATTAAACATCTACTATGTGATCCTTGGGGATATGATACCCTTTTTGGACACAGGAAAATGACAGGTTAATGGCTAGGGTGTTCAGAAGCTTCACAGACATTTTTATGATTTTTTATATTTGATTGGGTTTTCATAGAGCATAATGACTTTTTATTTGCAATGTAAAGAACTTGGGTCAAGGTATGGAAGTCTGAGCAAAACGGCTACCCTCTTCTAAATTCAAAACTTCTTGTATGGTCTCAGATTTTCGTTCATGAAGTAACCATAGAATTTAAAAAATTTCTACTCTTAATTTTGGAAATTTCCAAACATACACAAAGGTTGAGGGAAGAATGTGCTGAACCTCCGTGTACCCGTAAAACCAGCTTTAACAGTGATCGACTGAAGGCCAATCTTGTTTCATCTGTACCCGCACACATGATTATCCCCAGTACCATCGAAGAATTTTAAAGCAAATCTCAGGCATCATATTCCATTCATAAATGCTTGAGTATGTATCTCTACAAGTTAGGAACTCTTTTTTTCTTTTAACGAAACCGCAGTACCATTACCATGCCTTTATAATGAATGCTAATTCCCTAATAAGCTATGAAATCATTAAAAAGAAATGGATGGCAGTCAGCCTTTTATGCCATCAATGTAATTTAGCCCTAAACAACAACAACAACAAAAAAGTCAACACATTCACCTTCTAAAACAATCTCTTTTAAAAAGACAGCTAATAATCAATCAAATCTAATTTTAAATTATTTTCCCTGCTTGATCATTACAATTTCAGTGAACTGTAGCATGACTCCAGCATTTTTGCTTATGATAACAGCTGATATTTATTGAGCTATTACTATGTATTCTCATCGTTTCTATTTTATACATGAGGAAACTGAAGCTGAAATAATTTAAATAATTTGTCCAAGGTCACTCAACCAGTAAAAGGCAAGGCTGGGGCTCAGAACTTGGTCTATTAATTTCAAAGCCCTTGCTTTCATCACTACAAAATACCACCTGTTTCATCATCGTTGTTAGGGACTAAGAATGAGATCACAGACACCAAACCTTATCTTTGTTTTTCAGGTACTATTTTCAAGGCTTCCAAGTCCTGTATTCAAATGACTTTTTCAGTTAATTGGGTCTCATTAACTGTGTCTCATTGTGACTTGAATCATCCAGGCACATGTACAACTTGACTGACATAGGAGACTACTTATGCCACCTTAGCTGGGGCAGTTTGTCTAAAGTTAGGATGGGAGGTAACAACAGCCATAGCATGTTTACATGTAGGAATTTCAAAGATAAGGCAGTCCATATCTTGAGTCCTTCTTTGTCTTCCCTCTGGATTTTTGCCTCTTCTAGGCTTTAATGTACATTGTCCATTTCTCTTATTCTATTTGGCCAGAAAGGATTGGGCACTGGGAAAGAAGCTGCAGCGCTCTCTGACTCTCGCTGAGTCCACCTAGAAATTCTACCACATTCACACTTTCCGTAAACCAGCACGACAAAGAAAAACATGCCATTATTATGTGGAGACAAAGTACATATTAATAAAATAGTTTAGAGCCAAATGGCAGTCAGAGGTCTTATCCAGAAGTCTACAATTTTAGAAGCTAAAAGGCACTTCTACTGACAAGTAGGAGGAAATTCCAGCTACATGAGCTGAACTTACCCTCATGTTCCTTATAGTAAGTTATCCCATGTGAATGAAAGGTGTAGGGCCTAGAGGCGAGGTTTTTTAAGTGTACATAAACTTTATCTCCAGTTTCAGTTTTAATAATAGGGCCTAAAAACCCGAGCCAGAGTGGTTTTTCTATAGTTGTCCTAAAGGTTTCATCTGTGTACTGAACATAAATGGCCTTCTTATATACTTTCCCAATTCTATCTGGGCCATTTTGAAGATAGATACTGGAATGTTCCCTGCAAAGAAAAGGAAGACAACTCTATCAGAAGCCATCATTTCTAGGGATGAAATTATAATTATAATTTAATAACATTGTAATTACAGAAATTAACGACCACATCACATTAAATGTTTGCCTGTTGTAGGGATGCCTCCAAATTTGAAGTGGAGAGCTGGCAGTTAGCCCTGTTATTTTAATTACGTGAGGCTTTCCATCTCAGGTATATGTCAGAGAATCGTCTGTAAAGTCATCATAGAAATATAGTGCATCTTACTGAAGTATTTTGTCCATGATTTTTATGTTAAAACTCAGAGATATTATATAATGGAATAGAATATAAAATTAAGCTGAAATATTAAGATAAATCAGTTAATTAAGACATTTTTTTCACTTATACCTCTCAGCTACTGGAAAAATTTGAGTTTACAATTAATCAATCTTGATATTTGAGACTTCAAAGTATGTGTGTGTGTGTGTGTGTGTGTGTGTGTGTATATAATTTTTTTCCTTAAAGTAAAATTAATGAAGCTAAATTAATTCTTTTTAATTTCTTTTAACAGCACTAAATCGAAGCTAGAGTTATTGATGCATGCAGTGTGTATGGTTTTTAAATTACTTTTGAATTTAAATTATCCCTGGGTTTTTTAATCCTGCCCTAGTATAGATACTTAACATTGAATGTTTGTATTCTAGTGAATGCCCATTAATAGTTGCTTAAAACTTTCTTAAAAATGTCAGCGAAGTAAATAGTAACCTGGAAAAGAAAAGATGGAAAGAAAGTAAATTTGGTTTGAACCAATTTCTTGTGTTATCAGCCTTAACTGAAGGCTGTGCATAGCTCAGTAGGATCTATTCGTGGGCAGTATCATGTAGCCATTTGGCAGGACCCACTTAAATTCTGGCCTTTGGCAAGACCCTTCACAACCAAGGTCTCTTCCATTTGAATAAAAACTGCTCATCATCCTGTGTGTGTGTGTGTGTGTGTGTGTGTGTGTGTGTGTGTGTGTACTTTGCCTCCTTTCATCTTAGTTATCTTTGATACTTCACTGTTTTCTACTCAACAGTTGTGAGGTTTAGTAACTGACTGAGGAATAAATTTTTTCTTCTTACCTCAGCTCAAAAGAGATATATTTTTCTTTCCCTTCTTCAAGACAAGAGCAGAGCTTGTCCGAGAAATCTGGACTTTCACTGCTACAGAATTTAAAGATGTGGTTTTTCAAAAGGCCTGGTGTTTCTTAAGTTTGAATATGCACAGGAATCTACTGATGAGCTTAGTGAAATGCAAATTCCTGGGGCACAACTCCATTGATTCTGATTCTGTGGGTCTGGGGCAGGACTCAGGCATCTGTATTATTAACCAACACACTGGTGTGTTTCAATGAGACAGGCTGCTCTGGGCCCCTGGGTAACCTGTGTTGAAGAGGCTTCAAGGTTGAGGATTAAGAGAGCTGCCCAATCCCAGAGGCAGTGGGATTCCTAATACCATGAGATAGAAAGGTAGAAAGCTCTGTTTCCAGGTCACACCTGGTGATGGCAGGACTTTTGCTGGTGGTGGCTATATAGATTAAGCCTGAGTGCTGGGGGCCAGGTAGCATGGCTGGTTGGCAATGGTCCTGGTGGCTGAGTTTGGGCAGAGTGAACAGGTGTTGGAAATAAGAGCCACCATCCTCTGGATTGATCAAGGAGTTTCTATGATGAGTATTTCCTCCTAGTCACTACCATACACCAATACCTGGGGATGCCAGTTTTCCTGGATTGTATAAAAATGGATTCCCAAAGAAGATAAAATTATTCACTAAAAAAATGACTGAGTTGATGTTTCCTTGCCTGTCCCCCAACCTGGTGGGAGGGCTAAGCTAGAAGTTAGAAAAATAAAGTGTCATTATCTGCAGCCTATGTGGAGCAGCAAAATCATGGGTATACCCTTATTTTTCCTGTTTGTGTTTATCTTCTAATTGTTTGTTACCATTTCCCAATGTGTTAAAGCAAAATAGGAAAAGATTGGGAAGGCTAAGAGAGACTTCATGGGCACAGGTAGGCATGGGAAAAGGGCAAAACACAAGTATGAACTCTGCCTCTAAACCCATAGCAAGGAGCGCACAGAAAGAGTCTTAATAAATGTATGCCTTAACAACAGCAAAATTGTTGCATTGAAGACCACTGAGATTAAAAGCAGAGTCATTTAGTCCATATGACTGAGAGGAGGTCAACAAGAGTGCTATTTCAGTTAGGTACACAACTGTAGCTGCAAAGTCCATAGTACAAAGGTACAATTCCACTCTGGTCTCACCAGAACCCTGGAACAATCAATATCACAGAGACTTATCTAAGCCCAGGGTAAATTTTCTTAAGGGTCTGGACATACTTTTATTTCTGAGTGATAAATTTGATAATATTTGGAGACTTTTACTCTGTACTTTACCATGTCCTATTGATACACGTCTTATATAGGCCAAAGTTAAAAGTTAGCCCTCAAATTCTTAAAGCTTCATTTAAATAAAATGTGTATTTATATTTTCTGAATGTACATACACTTTGGCATACATCACATCCTATTTTGATAAGCAGGCTTTGTCAAAATGCTTTTATTGCATTGAAATGCTCCTGTATTAATCATTGCCTAAAATAGGAAGAGCATTGCCATAAACCAATACCTAATACCAAGACCAAGACCTACATTGCCTAGACTTTGTAACTAATTTTGCTAGGCAAAGATGTTTTTGGGGGGTGAAAAATGCTTTTAAAATTATTGATCTGAAGGTAAAACATATCTAGGTGTTTTAACATTTGAAATTCCTTTTATACACATTGCAATATATAAACTTTTTTGCATCTTGCCTTTTATTGTGGAAAAAAACTGTCTTAACCAAATTGAAAAATATTTTACACTGTGGGACACTTTGGGAGAAGTCTATTTGTTTATACCTTGTCTCCAAATAAACATTAAAAGGTCATTAGGGACTGTCTATTTAATTTCAACAGCATGGCTTGGGGACAAAGGGCCAGTTACTGGAAGCTTGCAGGAAGTTTGCCAGTCAAAGTTATTCAGCCACAAGAATCTATTAGAGCTGTTCTTTGAACCAAATAATTCACATTTAATTGTAGTTCTTCCTGTTGACAATTGTAATATGTTCCTTTCTACTTGTTACAGTAGACATATCTCCCCTCCAGTAATCACATTCCCTCTTTTTAAGCCCCTTATTTAAAAAAAAAAAAAAAAAAAAAGGGGGGCTTAAAAAAAGAAAAGCCAGCTCCTATAATTTCTGGTAGTCTTAGACCCAGAAATGAGTTTTTAATAGTAGGATAATTAATTTTTAATATTGCTTTATTAAGATATTAATAATGCTATTTGCTCCCTTAAATTTCTAATTCACTCAAGTGATCTTGGTTTATGTTTAGACATGGTTCCCAAAACTTGGATATTTATGGGTGAAAGATTTCTGGATTTTTGACTTCATTAGTTGAGACATAATACCTTAGGTTTTTTTTGCTGCATAACAAATTATCACAAAGTAGGTTAAAACAGCACCCATTTATAATCTCACAATTCTGTGGGTCAGAATTGTGGCTGGGTTCTCTGCTCCAGGCATCACCAAGCTGAAATCAAGCGGGGCTGAGTACTTGTTTGAGGCTCTGTGGAGTAATCTGCCTAGCTCATTTGGGTTATTGCCAGAATTCAGTTCAATGGGGTCATAGGATTAAAATCCCTGTTTGCTTGCTGGCTATGGGCCAGGAGCCTCTCCCAGTTTCTTAAGGTCACCTTTATGCTTTCTTAGGTGGCCCCTTGCATCGCCAAGTCAGCTTCAGTGTGTGGAATCTCCAGATAATCTCATTGACTAAAACATAAATCATTGGAGTGTCTCTTCCTGTTCACAGGTTTTGGAGATTTAGGAGAGGATATCTTTTGGGGGCCACTTTAGAAATGCTGCCTTCCTTAAACAAGAGTCATAAGGAAAACGATCAAAAATTAACTGGTGCAAGAAGTTGGCAGAGACTCAACTTAGGTATATGTAACACAAATTCGAGTGATTTGCCGGTTCTAACTAGCCTTCCTCCACTGGCACAACATGAATGCGGTACTTAGTGATAAATTTTCTTTCATTTGTGTTCTCAGGAGAAATAATAACCATGATAATAAATGGAGCTTGGTAAATGTGGAATGTTAGTCACATAATTAGCTCTTTCATACAAGCTGTCTTGTGTGAAATGTTTGTACTGCAATAGCCATTGCTTGTTTTTTTTTTTTGTTTTTTGTTTTTTGGTTTTTTTTTGAGACAGAATCTTGCTCTGTTGCCCAGCCTAGAGTGCACTGGTATGATCTTGACTCATTACAACCTCTGCCCCCCAAATTCAAGTAATTCTCCTGCCTCAGCCTCCCAAGTAGCTGGGAATACTGGCACATGCCACCATGCCCAACTAATATTTTTCTTTTTTTTTGGAGACGGAATCTCACTCTGTTGCCAGGCTGGAGTGCAGTGGCGTGATCTCTGCTCACTGCAACCTCCACCTTCGTGTTCAAGTGATTCTCCTGCTTCAGCTTCCTAAGTAGCTGCGATTACAGGTGCACGCCACCATGACCTGCTATTTAAAAAAAAAAAAATTTTTATTTTAGTAGAGATGGGGTTTCACCAAGTTGGCCAGGATGATCTCGATCTCTCGACCTCGTGATCTGCATGCCTCAGCATCCCAAAGTGCTGGGATTATAGGCATGAGCCACCACACCTGCGCTTATTGCTTGCAATTTTTTTATTTGCAACCTTGGAGAATGAGTCATCTAAAGTAAACTTTCCAGAAAATTTTAGCTAGTAATTGTATCTATTTAAGAATCATTTAAAAATTCAAAAATCATTTTTGAAGGAATGTTAATAAATTGGGAGGCCATTAGGCTGAGACAGCTTCAGTGCCTTGGATTCCTACCTAAGCAAACCAAAACCCAATTCAATATAATAAACTGTGAAACGAAACTTCTAATCTGTAACTAGAGACTTTATCAATCAGAAGCCACCAACTAACCTC